GTGTGTGTGTGTGTGTGTGTGTGTGTGTATGTGTGTGTGTGTGACCTTTTGGGATCCACAGTTACTAACCCCTACTCAACAGCTTTCAAATGTCTTGAACAGTCTCCCCATGCACAGTGGGAGGTGGGGAAGATAAGTCAGCGTTAGAAGAGACCCCAGGAAATTCAGACCTTTGTGACACACTGGTCCCAAGTCCCAAATCCCCCTCCAGCAAGTCCTCTTGGTGCTCCGATCCAGAGTCGCTTCGTATAGATGCGAGCTCCGTTTTCTCCAAACTGACGGTGGAAGCATTGAGTTGAGCCTCGCAGAACTGCTCCTCATCCTGAAAAAAAAAAGTAAAATATTCGTCTAGTTTCTGTCTGGAGACATACAGTGTGCAGTATTATTAAAAGAGCCTTACCTCCTGCAGATGGGGGCTGCTGAAGACTTTAGCAAATCCACCACACCACTGTGGCAGAGAGTCAGCCAGCGGGGGGCCGCAGTGTGTCAGCAGGGGCTTTAGATATCTACAGCCTTGTTAAGTCATAATCGTTAGAACCAAAACAAAAACATTCGACAAAACAGAAAAACCAGCAGCTTTACAGCTTTAGTGATTAATTTAGCTAATTAGCAAGACTGCTGTCGAACACTCAATCTATACGTCTTCAACAAAGTAAGATAATCTCAGACAGAAACATTTTCTATTTTAGCTGTTGATCTCAAATCTGATGCCTGTAACTATATTCAATTTATGTTAAAAGAGATTCACATCAGTGAGTCACGCACAGAGCCATTAAGTGCGGGGACTGACTTCAAAAATGTGAAGCAAAGCGCATTAGCGGATCTCGTGAAGTGCAATGATCTTTGTTAAAAAATGTCAGCTGTAATCATTCTGAAAATGTGATCAAACATGACATTATAACTTCTCGTGCCGTTGTGACTATTCAACCAGACTACCGGTTGTTTTCAAAATGACATTAAAGGCCTAGCACTCGTGCAAGGCACAGTCATTTTGGTCAAACCTGGGAAATGACTTTATGCGTGATCTAATGCAATTCTGCGAGATCTCCTGCCTGTTAGTGCTCAGGAAAAAATGTGTTGAGCTACTACCACACCAGATTATAGATTATTGTCTGAGAGTTTATCATGCAAAATCTGCTTTTTTTAGCCGTTAAATATATTTTGTTGTGTACTAGAGTGTCTAGGAGTGCAGAAAAGTTGAATTTAGAATTTAGGTGCTGTGTAGATAGATATCTTTATATTCTGTTTGGGTCATATTTTTAAACCAGTTCAGTTTTCTCTACTCTCTATGACGTTTTCTGAACTATTACATCACAGTATTTGCGGCGGAACTGCCAGATAAGGTCTGGACTTATTAACTACAATTTCATCATCTTCATTGTCCTCTGGCTTCAGCATGTAAGGCTGGATGGAGAAGTCTTCCCTTGTTGACATATTTTAATTTATTTGTAAATAAAATAACAAATCTGCGCTGCTATAAAGTCATAAACCCATGAACCTAGAATGGACTGCTCTGGAAGCTGGAGAGGGGCGGGGTGTGAACTGTTTGGATTTAAAGAGACAGCCTCAAAATGAGTTGATATGTGAAACACCTCAGAAAAGTGGTGAAAGAGGGGCTTATGAAGTTACAATAAGGAGGAATTCAGACCAAAGCATTGATGTTCCACTTTATATAGACCCAAACTGGACGATTTAAAAGAGAAAAAGAAGGATTTTAAAAGCATCATATGTCCCGTGGTTCATGAAATTTTGCTACAAACACACACACACAGACATGGGCAAAAACTTCGCTGCTCTTTTGCCTTCAAATGATAATTTACAGTGAATAGAAATATAAAGAAACACATTTTACAGACATCCATGAGCTGGATTCACTTAATGCAATATAACATTATTAACCTCTATGGTTACATTGGTGGTAGACTTCTTTCATGATGTCATAAAAAGCCAGTGGCCAAGTCTTTTTCTTTAGGAGCGCGCTCTGTGTTAGTCATTCAAGCTGGATGTTCATGTGCTATTTTCAGATTCTAAACTGTTAGAATAGTTAATTGAGAAGCACATCCTTGTGTTAGCTGCTACACCGGCATGAAAATAATCCTTTCTAGGAGGAAATGCTGAACAAAAGCTGAGTGGAAGAAGGTTAAATGAACGCAAAACTAATTTACTCACCAAATAAAAAGTAAAATAGTTTATCTTGTTTCAGGAAATCAGGTCAGTTGAGCGTTTGATTAAAATCAGTGGCAAGGTTGCAATTAGTTTTTAAATGTGTTTAAGTGGTAATATAAGGCTATCGCGTTTTGAATGGGTTTGAAGAATAGGAATGAAATCTTATGTGAAAGTCCGAGAATGTAATCAACATGCTCCTGGTTACTTTGTAATTAAAATCACAGCCTATTATACACTCTCAAACGGCTCTAATCAGGCCATGCTTATCAGCATTTTCTATTATACGTCTGACTGTGTGTCCTCTTTACTACAGGCCTGTAGAGGTAGTAGCATGTTCATTGGCTTTTAAATGTAAAAGCTATGACACTTCTTTAATGAACTATTTTTCAGTTTTCTTCCATCACTTATTCTGAAGAAAAATCCTTCTTCATGGAAAAGAAAAATCAACCTTTGTACCTAAGAGTGTATGATTAACACAGGATTTAGACGTGGCAAGTGTACAATCCCCTGGCATAGGCGCAGAAAAACAAGGATAAGCAGGAAATGATCTTATTTGGCACCAAGTCTTACATTAATCAGGTTATACGCAGTTGTTCTAACAGGATATACTGTATATCTTTACACAGGCCTCAAATGAGAAACAGAATAAAAATATTGACATCCTTGCAGGAGTGAGTTGTTTGTCCTCATCCTCTAAGCTGGAAAACTTATGGACAAAAATGGCAATTATAACTACTGGAGTTCCTTTCTTCTTCACACTGGAGTTGTATTGTGTGTGTGTGTGTACATGTTTTTGCTACCTGGTGGGGATGGTTTTTGACCATTACCCCAGTGCACACAGCCTGGTGAGGACCCACTGTTCCTAATAGGGACAAAAATCCTGTCCCCATTAGGGGACATACTGTTGGTGGGTCAGGGTTTTGGTTTAGGACTAAGGTGTGAATTTAGTTTAGATTAGGTTTGGAATATTGGGCTGGTTAGGCTGTAGAAATCACCGGCAAATGAATGGAAGTCAATGCAAAGTCCCCTTAAAATGAGAACAAACGTGTGTGTGTTTGCTACATAATAGAGACAGTTAAAAAAAAAAAAACGCAGCCTCGTGGGGACCAAAGCCCAGTCTCCACGGGTACCGATGCAGATTTTGAGTGGGGGCGTTTGGTTTAGGACCAAGGTGTGAATTGAGTTTAGGCTAGATTTACGGTCAGACAGGTATGCACTGGAGTGGTTAGTTTTAGGGTAAATGGTCAGAGTTAGTCTATAGAAATGACAAAAAAATGAATGGAAATCAATGCACGTCCCCACGGGGATATAAAAACAAACTTGTATGTGTGTGAGAGAGAAAAGGTGCTGAGTCGTCTGATGGCGGTAGAAGCCTTGCTGCTGTTTCAGCCACTCTTGCAGCAAACATCACTCCCTCCCCCAGTTTTGACTCTATTAAATGTAGAGTGTTTCCAGTGATTGCTACTGAGTGCAAGCAAAAAGCTATGAGTAAAATGGCCAATAAATAAATAAATAAAAAGTCAAATAGATGCACTGTAAAAAAACAGATTTATTCAAAAGTGTTAGATGAATTTGTTGAGTGTCTGTTTGTCTCTTGGTCACCAAAAAGCTGAATATCCCAGTCTATTTTTTATATTAAAAAAAAAAAATCCAAATTCAGTTCCTTCAAAATGCAAAACAGGGTTTGATATAGGCAGAGGATGTGCATCTGAGTGAGAAAAAGCCAGGTCTTGGTGGTAAATCGAGTACAATATAATGTTTTTCAATCCCTAATAAGATTTGACTCATATGATTTTTCCTGTGTCTCACTCCAAAAAAGTTATTTTTATGTTGGGATAAGAATAAACACACATGTAAACTAAATTCTTGTTGCTGCAAATACTTTTCTGGCTGACTGAAATAAAAAAACATTCACAATAAAGAGGCCCTCAAAAATATTTTTAATCTACTGTGTGGATCTAATGTGCACCTATATTCTTTTTAAATTTGATTTTTGTTTGAAGATGCTTATTTTCTTCAGCAATTAGAGAAAGAGAGTATAACCCCTTTTTTCTAAGGGGCAGTTATAAGATTTTTTCTTCTCTTAGCTGCCTTTCATTTCAATTTATTTGTATTTTTTTATTGTACATATAATTTTGTTTTTATGGAATGAATAAAGTTTGAAATAATATAAAATAAATAGAGTAAAGCAAACAAATGAACCTACGTTATACAAATATATTTGCAAAATTTAACAAACTAACCCATTGGGCCTCATGCAAGAACATGTTCGTATTCTTATCCTAAATTTCTCTTACTTTTGTTCGTACAAAGGCTTCGTACGAACATGTCACGTCAGATTCAACAAACTCTTCTATCTTCAGGAAAAGTGTGTAAATGAGCTGCGTAAATTCACCTGTTCGTATCCAGCTGCTCGTGCGCGTGAGAGGAGATTAGCATAATTACCTGTTATGAATCTGTCTCTGTCTGCCCAGTTCTAGTCTTGTCTCATGCTCATTCAGTTTCATCCTGCTCCTCTGCTCATTGC